AATTTGGTAATTTGCCTATTTCTTTGAAATAAAAGGATATTTTGCCAAAAAAACTATCCAGTAGTTTTTGTCATGCCCTAGCCTATCTGCCATGAAAATGTGAGCGAAATCGAATTTTCGACCCTTGCCGAGTTATTTTCCATTTTTATGGACAGTACAGTGACTCTTAAATCCATGTTCTTCTTTCGGGTAAAACAATCAAGGCTCCAAAGCGCATTGTTAATTATCTATAATTGCAGAAACGCTTTTACTTTTGAGTGGTGAAACCTTAGCGGATCGATGCGACTCTTCTTTAAAAATACAGCAAACCCTAACACACCTACACGAGTTAATAGTCAAACTAAATAACCCAATGGAGCAGGCAACAGCTAGTGAAATAACTATACCTAGGTCGGTTCCAGAGACCTAGTTTAAAAAAGTTATTGAGTGTTAAAGTAATTTTTTTTTTACCACCCGCTTAGAATCTTTTGTAGTACATTCTTGGTTTAATTTTTGTTCTTAGACTTGTAAACATCGTATTAGCAATTAATGGAAAAGGCGGAAGCCTCTTCTAGGCGTTCAGTTAGTTGAGGCGCAGCATTGCGAAAAAATGGCGGAGCGAAATAAAAGAGAAACTGGCTTGGTGCGAGGAGCGAAGGAACGCCCGTGAGCAACCTTACGAAAATGTCGATGTGGTAAACGAAGGTCTACGATACCCTCTGATTGATCAATTTAGATTCATTCAGTTTGTCTATCACTGTCAGAAATACTCCAACAGAATAAGTAAGACAGCGTCAAAATTCAAAAAATATAAGTTCTAAAATTGTGTTGCTTTGTAAAGAACGGCATAGAAATATGAGATTTGTGATAAAACGTGGTTTGAAAATCAAAACATATAAAATGACTTTTCGCCACTTTCCCGTCATTTCGTTTAAGCTAGTTGCGAGAAAGTCGCTTGACTGTCCACGCATCGCGCGAGTAACATCCTAGACAAACTAGGCACGATGTCTAAAAATAATTATAACTTAAGAGGGGTTACTTTTGGTATGAAGCCTATATGGGGGATTCACTCTCTTACCACTGAGTTACCGACACAGTGGAGTGAGTCGAATATTAGCTACAAAGGAAACATTGATTACCAAGCATTTGCTCCCTCTCGGACAGCGAATTACTTCTGTAGATCGTCGAGCCGCGTTCATTAGACCATACGTATTTCCTCTGGCATGTAACCCGTATTCAGCGTGTCTCAGTTTCTCGAGATAAACTCGATTATTGCTGGTGCCTCCCTCGTCTGTTTGTTGTATTATTTGTCTCCTTTACTTATAATAGTAATGTTTTCTAATCGGCTGATCGAGTGAAGCGAAACAGAATAGAATAGATTGGTCATTTCTAAACTGTCTGCAATTTACTTTCAAACTGGGTTGCTGTCATTTTCCAATGACTATCTTGATCTGCGTTTTGTTGTCATGAAATATTTCAGAATAACTCGTTCAAGAACTGCAGAAATTTTCTTCTTGTGCCAACACAGATACTAGCAGTTTTTTTTTTTTTTCAATTTAGGTTTAGAAAAATAGGCTGTTTATTCGGGTCGTTGCTTTTGATACTTCAGTGTGCAGCTTAGCTAATTTTATTAATTATATATGAGATTGCGTTCTCTCAGATGTGCCAAGTTTAGTCAACGCGTCAGTGATACAAAACACAATGAAATAAGTCAGAAACATTATTTATTCCCAGCACCATGTTTTCTTTGTTTTACAGCACTCTTTTTATCTAAAAATCTACACACAAAATCTGCTGGATTAATCGGCAGTTAAGTAAACAGCAGAAGATGTTTTGCTTTAAAGACGGGGAGGCCGTTCTTGTCACTGCACCAAGATGAATCCCATGGCTTTAATGTGTTTGTCTCCATTATCTGGTGAGTGGGTTGCCTCGTTTCCGCAAGTGTTGGAGTCATCGCTGGCTCCTCCTGTGCCAAACCCGATTCTGGAATCACAGCTGTTGCAATCATTTTCCTGATTACCAATGATGCCGATTCTTGCTTTAGCCATGCCAGAATTAGTACCCACAGCATTGAAGCCTTGCGTATTACAGTGTGCCTGTAAGGAGCCCTCTGAACCAATCAGCGACTTCCATTTTTCACGGCTCAGTGAGGTGGCGCGGTGTTGCCCGTCAGCGATCAGTGAGAACAGAGAGCTGGCCTGCTTGTTGATGACGACGAACTTCGTCTGTTGGCCGACCTTCATACCGAGGCAGATCTTGGAGAAGGGTGTGTCCCAGTAGGTCGGTAACTTAGTCTCTTGTGAGTCAAACCCAGTCTCGCCTCCTGGAAGGTTGAACTCGTTGTTGTTTCTCCAGAGGTCGGCATCGTAGTGAAAGGTTTGCTGCATAGAAAAAAAGCAAGTTTTCAAAACCTTAACGAGCAACTGAAGAACGACAATTTTTTGACATCCGCCTTTTTTCCGTTAACAAACTAAACGTCCTTCGATTATGCCAAATGTCAAATGAGCGTAATATGAGAGGTTAAATAAACCATGATCGATCTTTGCTTTCATCTTTGCATCTTTGTCATACCTTGCTGCCATCAATTTTCATGACCATGGTCCATCCTCCACCTCCGCATTCGCCAATGTCGCTTGTCATGTGACAATACACAGGGATCTTTCCACTGTCAATCTCCAGCATGTAGTCTTTATTTTCTCGCAAACTGATGAAATGAAAATAAGATATTTCAGGTTCTATCATACAAAGCTTCCGTGTATTATTGCTATCAATTCGAAGTCAGTGAAAGTTATCCTTGGAGATGTTTAAAGCAAATCTTTATTTTTGAACAATTCATGATCAGATCTCGACCTTTATTGCATTCATTAGAAGATGTCTCTTGCCCGGCCAAGGACAAAACGCTGCGTCCATGACAAAAACCGATCAGTGGTTTTAAGCCGCGACAGTTATATTCTCGCTACCCACATACAGAAGCTTCTCAGTGCCTCCCCACTATTTAATTGACTTAGGCCTTATCAGAAGCATGATGAAAATCAATGAAACGTGAAAAAATTTAAACTGTTAACTTACCCGTTGTCGTACAGTTCCTTGCAAGAAGACGCTGTAACTGAAGAAAATTCAACTCATATAAAGCATTCGTTACAAAAAAGGGACAAAGAAACGATAGACTGAGGAGCCAATAAGATCTGTTACTCCAAGTTTACCTGGCGGGGGCTGCAGCGACATTGAGATGTTTTCAACCAGTTCGAAGAGATTTTCCAGCTTCGTTTCCAACTTCATTTCCAACGTCTTAATGGCGGTACAGACATCTGTTCCATCACAATTGTCGGAATCGGCACCTGATCATAAAAAACACCTGTACGTTAATTGCTGCTCACTAGTTGGAGATTTACAATGACCGAAAACTACAGGTTTAAACCGTTCGATGCATCGGCAAAGTAGAAAACATTTCTGAAAGTACCTTGACATAGGCTTTCCATCTCATCCAACCTTGCAAGAACAGTCTTGCAAGTTGGCCTTTTACCAGCGTTCACGAAAACGGTGAAATACACGAGACAAATAACTGCAGCGAATTTCAACGATACCATTTTTAAGTCTTGGAACTGTACGATAAGTAAGGCTTTCGACGAGTATTGATAAGTTAACATTTGAAGAGTCCGTTCCTTTATAAACCCTTTCATCGATGCTTTACATTCAATCTATTTTCTCCTTACACAAGCTCAGAGGTTTTCTTTCTTCATGCGTCGAGAATTGATAAGTCAATCAGTTTCTAGCTAATGATTGGTTCTTGCATTTTTCACAACCAAACAACCAATAGCAAGCCCAGGATGATGACGTTTTTGAAGAGAAGTAAAATAACCATAGGTACTCGATAGAAAATAATGAGCATCGAAGTTTTCATTATCTCCCATTAAGTCAAATAACCTACGGTATGATTGTTTTGAAATAGCCGAAGAGCGCAGCCAAAAAGCTGGTGAAATAACCATAGTTACAAAATTCCTTGTTTAAAAACGCTATTGAGTGTTAAAGTAATTAGTTTTACCACCCGTTTAGAACCTCTAGTAGAACATTCTTGGATCATTTTTCGTTCTTAAGCTTGTAAACATCGAATTAACAATTTATGGAAAAAGTCGGAACTTGTAAGTGAATTGCAGTCCGTCTTCTCCAAATTGTTCACCTGTAGTTTTTGTCGCAAACGGTTAAGTTTTATATATGTCCCGTTGTTTCTTTTGGTTGGATATTTTCAGTGATTAGCTAATTTGTTAAAAAAAAGAACATTTTGACAAGCTTTTCCTTGTCAAAGGAAATCATGCAAATTATTTTGGTTTGTATGCTCGCTCTCGTAAGGCCTTCTTTTTGACAAAGAACTATTTTGATGATTATTTGACATAGATTGAGAGTTCCAGGTTCCTAACATCGAGTCAGCTGTTTGCCAGTGTAGGGGGGTGTTCAAATGGTGAGCTAATTAAAGTTTCCAAAGGCTACAAGTTAGTGTCTACTTTTTCTTTGACGTTTACAGGCTAACAGACACAGAGATTCGGATAAATGAAATTGTTTAAAGGCTTACAATCGATTAACTGCTTGTTTGCCGTCTATTAAGTCAAATAACTATTGTAGTTTTGATATGAAATTGTAGAAAAGCCAAGCCATGAAGAGAGTTAAGTAACCATATATTCTTTTACACTGGTTTTTGAGGCGATGAAGCGACTTACATTAGTCGCGTTCTTGTGCCGATTCGAACACAGAGATCGGGTTTTTAAATTAAAATTACCTCTAGAAGGAGTTTAATTTAATTAAGACATGAGGTTGTTGTTAAAAAGGTATTGAAAACACGCGGGTTTAATAAGTGAATATTTACCACCTAGTACGTCAAATAACCAACGGGATGTTTGTTATGAAATAGCAGAATGGCCAGAAACCGGGGGGGTGGGGGTATCCCGGAAATTTCCGCTACATGAAGTGTGTGCCGCGAAGGGTCTTAAACCCTGACCTTATATTTAAGGATGAAGTGAACACAAATTGATTCCCTATTTAAGCCACAAACCCGAAAAATGACACTCTGTTTAAGGGAAAAACAAAAACTAACAATATCGTGAACGGGTCAACTTTCGTTTATAACATTGTAAGTTGAGCATCGAGCATCCCCAATTTGTTCTTAGTTTAGCTGGGCTTTTACCAACTGGACTTTGAGCTGAAACAATTCAGGTCCCTATGTAAGGATCACATCAGGAACACAATGCCAACAGAGGTAAAAATGATAACTGCCTTAAGGATCGAGAAACTCAAACGCCAAACCCTATATATCCCACCGCACATACCTTTATAGCCTATATGTGGGAGTACCTCCCCCCGGGGGCCAAGGTTAAGAAAATAATAAAATAAACCATAAACATGCACATTATTCGGCTCGCAGTAGTTAAGATGGCCAAACAAGATCAAAATAGCTTTGAAAAGGCCCTCCCAGGTAAGACCTTAAAAACATATTATCAATAAATGTCAGCTCGAGTGCGGTGAAATTAAAAGCGGTTTATTAGAACAACAAATAAAGTGTGGACATGCTGTCTAGCGGTCGGTGTTATAGGACATTACAAAAGTCGTATTATCTTATTCTGGGTGCGTTCTAGGCACATGGTGCTATAGCACAAGAAAGAGCAAACGACTGAAATCAATAAGAAAGCAAATGTAACAATGTCGTGAACCGTATGAGTCGTGTACAAGTCACCACCGTCATCCTGAAAACCATAAGTCCCGATCAATAAGTGGGCGGAAGGATCTTTTGTTGACAATACTTACAGGCGTTCTCTCGCCTTTCCGCGCCGCACTTCTCACGTATTTTTTCGTGCACCATTTTTCATGCTGAGATGCTAATGCAATACACAACTGGCAAAGACGTCGACATGCTGTGAAATGGCGTGAATGCCTGTTTGTAGTTTCCATACCGTACTAGTTGGATATGAAACGGCAAATCATGGTAGGTGGATTTTTACGAAAAATGCCAAAAATCTTTTTTGGCTGTTCAAATTGAGAAGACCGAGATAAATATCTTGCAAAAAGAATGGGGAAAAAGCTTTCTTAATTTTTAAAATAAAGAGAAAAACTATTTTTGAATCATATTAACCTCTTACGGCGCGTTGACACCTCTAATTTAAATTCACCGCCAGTTGTCGCATGCAATGCGAATTGCGGTATGATATTTCATTTGTGCACGCGAGCTGTTCTGGCTAGTCTGACGCAGCGTTTCGTCTCGGCCAAGAGACTCTTCAGAGACCTTTAGAATTCATAGGCAAACTCGTTGAGCATCACGCCCAAAGTCCCGTTTCACAAGTATTTGACAATTGTTTGCTTTTGTATTATCTATGGATCGCTTTTACAAAATCTTTCGATGCAATGATCAGCATTGATGCTTCCTTTGTGGCCTTGCCACCATCTTGTGCGGGAGAATTTGATAAAAATTTCTAGCAAGTGAAACGACGTAAAGCAAGAGACGGAGAGCCGTCTAATATACCGGTGAAAAAGATTATAAGGTCCATGAAAAGGTGAAAAGTACGGAAAGCGCTAATTACGGTGGAAACACACAAGAATTAATCACTTGATAACATATTTGAAACCTAA